TTCTGCCACATGGAATGCAAATACGGTGATCATCGTAAGTGAGCATCGATATATGGCACTCTTCACACTTTCGTCCGAAAGTGTTTGAATCCGAAGTGCTGGGATGAACGGTGTTCAACTCTCCAGTATCCATATTTTCCGCCATCTTGAAACTGAAGGCGGGCTTTTGAGTTTCGTTACTAAAACTACAATTTTTTACTCAAGGTGACTAAGTACGAAGTTCTTGATGTCCACCAGAGCTTCCTGACACACTAATAGTTCAGTGGCTGTGTTGATGGGTGGTAACAATGTATTTCCACCGCAAAAACAATGATATTTTGGCAAGCCCAAATTTCAACCGTGAATCAATCTCGTGGTTAAAAATGGAAGTATGCAAATCAGATGACAGGGGAAGGACGCCCCCTACGGGAGCTATCCACTGTTATTTCAATTTTATTTAACCAGTATTATATGATAATTGGCAATTATCCCATTTGTTTATGAAATTAAAATTTCATTAACCAAAGGGGTTAGTATGCAATACTCTGTAATAAACATCTACAACTTGTATCACTTCTTTGCCCATCTTATTGAAAGAAGACTAATACCACAACTATTTGCATGACATAATTATATATAATCCCCTCTGTATTTCAAACGAGTGATACATCATTGTGGACAAGTGATTAACTATTTGGCAGGCATATCCTTCCAAGCCACAGGCGAGAAGGAACACAGCTATACAGGGAGTAGTGAGTCAAACATGAAGTCACACAAGTGAGGAATACTGGGGGATTAAATCATATTCATAGACATATGCTTGATTTTTAGACTAACTCTGGGCCAAAATATTATAAGCTTCAAAGGTGAACAGGCAACACACACCGCGCAAACACCACTGTTACAAATCTTCCGATTTAGTAGATTAGAATTTTTTGTATTTATTAACATTTAATGATATATTAATTGAACAGAAATGTGTAGCCACAGAGTTACAAATTCCAAAGACATTGTAACACATCAAGCAAATAAAGCTGAAATGCACAATACAACATTGTAAATATATCTGATTTAATAGTTTTATGCAGTATATGCACAATTTTTGTTGTACATCTTTTTGTACATGTTTCAAAACATAACCTGACAAAGCCTGCCATGTAAGTCTGTAAATATTCCGGTGTACTGTTTATGTAATACTAGTAGTTACAACGACGCTGATATCCCCTTTTAAACCATTTTTGTTGGCGTCAAATGTTCACATCTGTTTTTTTCTTACGGCGATGCAAGCTAAGGGACCAAAAAACAAATGTGAACACAATATATGAAGCCTCATGATACCCTATACCGTTAAAGTCCTATTATAAACCGCGGTTTA